CTAACTATTCTATGATTCTATGATATAAACACAAACCAGGAATCTTGCAATCCATTGACCTGGGATCACCAAGTTAGACTCAGCAGCCATTTTTGAATGAGGAACAGGGCAAATGCAGACTTTTATAAAACAGAAGATAATTTGAACAGTATCTGTTGCTCTGGGTATAGCAGACATACAGTAGATTTTTAGCATACAAAGGAATAAAGTCTTTACTGCAAATAGAATGAAGAGGCGAAAACCCTTCTCCAGGTTAAATGATGCTTCTTCAGCAGGCCTGAATATCTGAAAATCACTCTGGTGTACAAGGTAAACTTGCCCTGATGTCTGTTCTGGTATGTTCAACTCTGGAGCTCCTCCACTGACAGCACATTGATTCCTGCAGCAGCAGGGGTACCCCTCAGAGCTGCAGCGCTGTTACCAGCTGATCTGGTGGGAATGGTCACAGCTTGCAGGGCAAGATTTTAAGGCAATACAAGTCAATCACAAATGGACTAACCTGTGTTGCCGTTTTCATTCGTGTTATTGGTGCATGAATTCTAACACCTGTGAGCTGCACTACTTCAACTTCCACTTTGTCCTAAAAGGAAGGAAGGGAAGACACTGTAAGCACTCATCAATTGTGAACCACATTTCACTTTCAGGATCTGTCCACTGTTTTGCCACTGTGTCATCACTATTGCCATGTCAGTTGCGTGTAACTTATCATGGAAAATACAGAGGGAGAGGACTGCAAAAAGCTACAAAAGCATTAACTTTTGACAGGCATTGAAAAATGAGTAATAAACCCTGAAGGTAAAGGAAGACATTGAGAGAATTAGAAGGAAATACAAATTGTAAGCAGCAAATAGGACATTGAAAAATAAAGGATAATATGCGCAATACTCTGATGTCTCCTCTTCACAAATCCTGACGTTCCTGATAGATTTATTCCTATCCTGTACACTGGGGAGGAAAAGGTCAGGCCTGGATCTCATTGGGCAGTAGATCTAGCTTTCAAGTTCATTCTGCTTCCTGCCACTGCACCAGGGCAGGCTGCTGCCCCCCTGTTACAAGGCACAGCTATATTTATATGTATTTTTTAAATAACTTTGTCTCCTCTTGGCCTGTGGTGACATCTTTCAAGCAGCAGAGCTCTGTGGTGCGCAGCAGCTGTCCTGCCTTGACCTCAATGAAGAGCTGTAACAGTTGCCCAAGTTCTGTTGTCCTAAGTCTCATGACTCTCCTGGCCAGAGCCTCAGGGCCATGTACTCCCTCCTGTCCAGGCCTCCTCAGCAGCCCCCTCACTCTCAGCTGGCAGGAAATTACATGGACACAGATTCTGGTAGAGCATCAGGCATTTGTTGCTTGAGCTTCACGGATGGATTCAGACCACAGCATGGGATCATAGCTTTCTATACAGCCTGCCTATAGCTTAAGAGACAATGTGTTTCTCAGGCAACAGTTACCTTCTGACTTCTGCCAGCATAAGATGCTGCTAAACTGTAACATGATGCAGGCAAGGACAATCTTCTGCTGTTTGAGAAAGGCTTCTTTACATGGGCTTTTCTAAATTTACTGGTCAATTCTAAAGACACCAGACCGCTCAAAGGCTCCTAGGTGATCAGTAGAAGTCCATTTTAAGGTACAGCACAATTTAGCAGTATCTATTATCGCCTGTGTCAGCACATGCTGTAGTTTACAGGCAAGGGAGTAAGAAACACCGATTTTTCATCTCCTTAAGGAAAACAGGGAAGTGCACAAAGAAACATTAGTAGCCAGGGACTATTCACCCCTTTTGAGCTAAACCCAGGAATTAAAGAGCCTCTTTTAGCCCCAAACCATATCATAAAACATTACCTGAGATACCACAACAAGCTTCCCTGTCTCTGCATCAACAGCTTGCACCACGCCTGTCACTGTCCCATTCCCGACCGCCACTCCTCTGACAAGTCCTATGCTGTTCACTGATGCAATCTTCTCATTGCTGATGGAGAAAATGATGTTGGACTGAGGCTGAGGGCCTCCTTCTGAAGTGATCTATAATGAACAGCACACAGAACAACTAAAATTAACCCAGGAGACATTTCTTCTGGTTAATGTTACAGAATACAGCCCTTCCCAGCACAGCACCACAAGGTCCTCAGCAAGCAAAGGCTGTCTGAACCTTCCCAGGGTATCTCAGGGCTTATTTCTCCTGCACACTGGTCCCTGCATGATGTCAGGTGGGAAATGCATGAGCTAAGCACAGAAGTGGACTGTGCTCCACAGAACGCAATAGGCTGATTCTACATCCAGTCCAGAAAGTTCCAGAACAATTCACCTCACTTTCTCTTCACCACACATGTTGCAGCTCTGCTCTGGGTTCCACTTTGCAGAACTAACCCACTGTGCTTAATTTTGTGGATGTGACAGATTTAACAACCTTGTGTTGGTATTTAACACTGCAAAACCTGACAGTCCCTTGACAAAAATAAATATAAACCCTTTGATCCAGCAATACAGGAAAATGGAAGGTGGCTCAGGAATTCTTGTTGGGAAGAGGATTGAGTGTGAACACAGCTAAATTGCCAACTGAGTGTCTACTCCTGAAAAATAAGTTATATACATTGATTTTAAAATAGAAATTACAACAGAAAGAAAAGAGGTAAGATGCCTTACCTGAATCATGGCCCCAGTGATCAGGGTCACTTTCCTTGGCAGCAGCCTAAACGGGGGAAAGACCTACAAAACAGAAGTATGGACATTTGTGTTCACACTGTATCAATCAGGTGAATTATGTCACAAACCAGCACATACAAGTGCAAAACTGGGTCTTCATTTCCTTACTTACAGTAAATTGAGCAAGCAGAAACTTAACTCATCACGTGCAGTTACAAAAGCTCCCAAATGTGAAGCAGACTGGCAGTTGGGAACTTCTGGACAGAATGATCTATTTTTTTCTGGCAAATTAATAACTATTCTATAAATAAACAATGATGCACTGTTCCTATTCTATCATAACATAGATTCTGTTCATGTATATATTTTATTTGAAATTATTTACTTCAATCTGCTGTGGAGCAGAGTTGATTCTTTGTCCTCTCTTGTCAGCAGCAGTTGCCATAAGACTAGTCTGACCGATGGCCATCCCATGGACAAGAAAAGCAGCAGTGTGTTCATCAAGAGCTTCACTGAGTGGGCTGCAGCAAGAAACACAATGAATTACATGAATAACAAATGCAAAGGACATAGTGCATAGCAGTTTTATCATAAGGATGACTAAGTGACTGTCTCAAGCACAATTTCACACTTTATAGAATCCCAGAATCCCAGACTGGTTTAGGTTGGAAGGGACCTTTAAAGCTCATCCAGTTCCAACCCCCTGCCATGAGCAGGGACACGTTCCACTAGAGCCGGTTGCTCCAAGCCCCTGTGTCCAACCTGGCCTATATTTCTACATGTAGTATCACAAAATGGCTCTTCGTAGCCTTTGTTTTATCTTAAAATAAATACCTGAAACAAAAATGAAACCAGAGCATTAGTACAAACCAGAACTCTGCCACTAACAATTTGACCAGCATGGACAATAGTGCCGCAAGTCTTGATTACATACTTTGACACTATTTAACGGAGAGGGGCAGATGCAGCAAAGCTGCACTACATAGTGGATGCAATTACACACACACTTCCCCATAGACAGCAGAAGGAGTTTTACCAATTCTCTTAACACTAAAATCCACAGTTCAGAAATTTTTTTTCATTTTAGTTATTGTGTTTAGAGCTTGGGAAATAAGGAGGCTCGAAGCAACAGGATGATGCAGCCTGCCTGTTCCTAAGGGGTTAAGTAACAGACAAAATGAGTTTGATAACATCAGATATGTCTTTACAGAGTTCTTCACCTGACATTATTTGCTAAGTCACCACTTCCAAGATGCATAAGGCTCCATGAAATATTACAGCACACGAGTACAGTCTCGTTCAGCAGTCTACAAGATTTAGACCATTAGCTTAGGCAATTTTCCTCACAAAAAAACATTTTTTACCATTTAAAAGGTAATTAAAACTTTACAAAAATAACATAAATAGGAACTCGGTCACTGACTACTACCATGCCTCCAAGGCAATACTCTTTATTCATTTGTTGCTTATTTTGCCTATCAGTATATTTGCAGACTAATAAAAAATCCATTAACTTACACAAGTGAAACAATCTGAGATGCTGCCCTTAGTTTTAGATCCATGACAGCAAAGTATTTTGCCAGAAAAGGTTTCTTAGAGTCATCCAGAACTCTGACAAAAGCTTTAACAGTTTTCCCAATCTCCACCTGAAAGACAGACACATCCAGTCACTTTTCATTTAAACTGTTCTGATTTATCAGCATCAACATTTTCACTTTATTTATTCACTTGATTTATTTCACTTTATTTATTCACTTTATACCTTTTAGCAAGGTATTAGAGATCAAGCCCCAAGGTTAGATTAGCACTGATTTTAAAGAGTGATCACTGCCAGCTATGGTTAGCCTCATAGGAAATAGATGAATTCAGGGCTTTTAGCTGGCAAGGGCATAATTAAAACATCCAGATCACACAGATCAACACTTTATCTGTGTGACCTGGATCACACAGATCTGGATCAACACGTGATCTGTGTGAGACTTGCCCAAGCTGGCCAGCGAGTGAGGTGGGTTTGGTAATTTTTAAACCATGACATACAGAAAATGATCCTAAAAGGATCCTCTCATGGACTTCAATCAACAGGAGATGTAGATTACTATGTTCAGATAAATTATGAATTAACACTGCTGTGTAAATACAGAACTGAGATTGCTGCCACACCAAACATGAAGAGGCACCATGTACTGACAGACCTACAGCCAAAAGGAGAAATCTGGGAGGGGGAAACAGAAACATGGGGAGTTTAATCTATTTCTCTGAGGTCACACTAGTGCAGCAGAGGCCCCAGCCACCACATCTTGTACACGTCTCCTCTTTACATTCACGATCAGCACAAGGAAGCCAGACAGTCTGGATCAGGCAATAAGGCTGGTTTCAAAGCTGCTCACCTTGTCAACAACTCGGACATACAGCTCCTGGATATCAGAGACATGAATTTCAGCTTTGGCTGGTGCAGGGAAAGCCAAACACAAGTCGTGAATCATCACAGTCACAGATCCTGGCAGCAGGGGATGCACCTGCAATGCCAAAAGAAAACTGTATTATAGCACTTCTCGTTTTCACTTGTCTGTCATTCATAGGATAAAATGTACATCACTTGCAAGGCAGATGCAGTTGGATGCAGAAGTCTCCCAGCCTTAGACACAGATAATTCTTCCACCAAAGTAAAAGTAAAGCTGCTAAATGTTTGTAAAAAGTACCATGCTACAGAGCTAGCGCAAGCGGCCGCTGGTCAGCAACTGAACTAACGTATCTTAACCTAGCAGCCTTCTGGCATTGTGCTATTATCCTTCCGCCACCTGAAGGACAAAAAAACACAACAAACCATTCAGAGCAATGAAACTTTTCTTAGTAGAGTGAAAAAAATCCCTGATAAGGAATTGAAAGCAACAACCAAGGACAGAGACTGTGGCTTTTAAAGCACTGCGATTGCTTCCCACGGGATTCACTTTACAGTGACTGCTTTGAATCTGAATGAATCCCCAAAATCTGGTGGTGGATCTTCCCAAGTAAGAGGAGGACTGACAAATCAGGTATTTCCTTGATACAACTGTTACTATTTTATGATTTTTTTTACACAAAGAATGGACATGTTCCACTTCTCCAAATACAGCGAGACTCAAACAGTGAGAAGACCTCTGCTCACAAACACAGTCCCTCAGAACTCGGTACCAATCCCACAGCCATCTCCACACCTGTCCTCGGTCCAGCTACAGCAGTCATTTTTGCTCCTCCTCAGTAGCTGGTGCAGTGCTGTGGTTTTGACTTTCAGTCTGGGAACAACGCTGGTAACACCGATGTTTTTAGTTGTTGCTCAGTAATGTTTACTCTGACCAAGGACTTTCTCAGTCTCATGCTCTGCCAGGGAGGAGGGGAAGCCAGGAGGAAGCAGAGACAGGACACCTGACCCCAACTGGCCAAAGGGCTATTCCATACCACAGCACGTCATGCCCAGTATAGAAACTGGGGGGAGTTACCCGGAAGGCCCAGATCGCTGCTCGGGTCGGGCTGGGTATCGGTCGGCGGGTGGTGAGCGGTTGTGTCCTCTCCCCTTGTTATTTCCCTTATCATTATTATTGGTAGCAGTAGTGGTTTGTATTATACCTTAGTTACTGGAGTGCTGTTATCTCAACTCGTGGGAGTTACATTCCTCTGAGTCTCCTCCCCATCCCTCCGGGAGTGGGGGAAGGAAGGAAGGAGGGAGGGAGTGAGTCAGTGGCTGCGTGGTTCCAAGTTGCTGGCTGGGCTTGAACCACGACACCACCCTTGCTCCAGGCCGTGCATCCACAGCTTGCTCACAGCCTCTCTGCAATTCTCTTGCTATTTGCCTGACCTTGCCCCACACCTCAGGGATAATCCCAACTATTCTGTTTCCCTTCACAGGTCCCTTCCCTTTGGCCAGGGACAGCGCTGATGTTCAGTGCCCTATTTTATGTGCTCACCCAGCTGTGAAGGTGAACTCTGAAACAAGGGGTGATGGACAGGCATGCCCCTGGTTCAAAGGAATGCAATATAATTCACAGCATTACTTGGCAGCACTTAGCAGCAAGAGCAGTGGGAAGAGCTGACATTTTGTGCTTTGAGGGCACACTCTGACTTTTGCCTCAAAATAGAAAAGAATATAAAGTTCTAATAAATGTCAGCTTCCTGAACAGCAGCAGTTCCCAAAGCGGGTGACTAATACAGGTGCTGGGGGCATGTATTAGCACATGGCATAGAAAGCCGAAAAAGGGATGTGGCCAGGAGGAGGCAACCAGCACAACCATGGGGAGGAAGATGTGATGGAGCTGTCTGAGCTGAGAGACCAGAGGAAAGAAGCTGCTAGAGTGGAGGGCAGAGAGGGGAAGCAGGACTGCTGCAACCTATGAAAACTGTTCCTGTCCCAGCCACCTCTTTTGTTCTCATCCCCTACTCAGTGTACAGTCTATCGCACTGTCTACCACTAGTCTCTACCACTTCCACTCTACCACCCAGATCCAGAAAAGCTGCAGTGACAAAAAAAGAGTAAGAGGTATAGAATTTATCCTTGGCAGCCCCAGTAAGAAGTCTGAGAATCAGTGCTCTACAGAACTTGAATTCAGCTTCTCAGAATAGTTTACTATCAAACCATCCTGTATCAACTTGACTCCACTGATAACTGCCATGGCATCAGCCTGGAACTTGCTGACTTCCTACACCATAGTTTAGTTGCATCTCCTAGTGGAAAAAAGCATTAAAAAAATATGGAGATCAGGTATCAACGCTTAACAGATATTTATTCTCCAAATCAGGATGAAATATTGTGATAGCAAAATATCCTGAAATGCCAAGAGAAGAAGAATCTGAAGGTTTCAGAAGCACTGTCCTGAAATACATATTTTTATATTATTCTAGAAACCAACTAATCTTTTGTAAAGCACTTCTGAATAATTCTGTCACAGGATTTTTCATTTTGTGCTTATGAAATCAGGAACATTATACTGCAAAACTGTAATGGGTGAAGAACAGCTTGGTATTGGCTTTATCTTGTACGGAGTATACAATCCCAGCCTGGTTTGGGTTGGAAGGGACCTTAAAGCTCATCCAGCTCCAACCTCCTGTCACGGGCAGGGACACCTTCCACTAGAGCAGGTTGCTCCAAGCCCCTGTGTCCAACCTGGCCTTGAACACTGCCAGGGATGGGGCAGCCACAGCTTCTCTGGGCACCCTGTGCCAGCACCTCAGCACCCTCACAGGGAAGAGCTTCTGCCTCAGAGCTCATCTCAATCTTCCCTCTGGCAGGTTCAAGCCATTCCCCTTGGCCTGTCCATACAAGCCCTTCTCCCAAGCTCCTCTCCAGGTTTCCTGGAGCCCCTTTAGGCACTGGAAATGCTCTAAGGTATCACCTTGAGGAGCCTTCTCTTCTCCAGGCTGACCCAGCCCAGCTCTCTCAGCCTGGCTCCAGAGCAGAGCTGCTCCAGCCCTCACAGCAGCTCCATGGCCTCCTCTGGACTCTCATCACAACTGTAGTGAAACAATTTCCTACACCTGAAATTCCCAGTGCAAAGATCCCCTGCCTGAAGCTTGACTGTGACAAAGAAACTCATCCAAGATTCAGCTATTACCTCTCCATCCACATGTACTTGAAAAGGACTGATAGTGATGAAATTGCAGCATGATTTTCAGACTGCCAGAAAGACAAAGTAACAAAATACTTCACTCACCAAAGCAATACCTCGAGTTTCCTCATGAGCCACTCTTACAATATTTGGAACAGTAGTATTAATGAAAAAATACCCAGAACCTCCTTTGATGAAAAGTTCTGCCTGCAAAACCAGAAAAGCATCCAAAATTAGATTGCATCTTTCTAGTACATTGCTAAAAGTAGCAACCTTACACACATCATACAATATTTTCATCTTTTTCTCCCTGCAGTTAGAAAGCACCAGAATAATTCCTTACCTGTATGTCTGGGTGATTGTAAATGGAGACATCACTAGGGCTTACTTTTACATCTTCCACTAGCATTAGTTCAATAGTGGCAGACACTGGCAGAAGAGGTTCATTCTGAAAGAAACAATTCTAGCTGTTACAGCAAACACCAAGAGTCAGAAAACAGGGCAGGTCTGTTGTATATGCAGGGAAGGGTGCTGAAAGCAGATGAGCCAAGAGCCAGAGCTGGAGAAGTTTATGCTAATAGAATGTCCACAAGATCTAGTAATTGGCTCAGCTGCTAGAGGTAAGGTCATACACAGCACACACTGTGGTATTCTGCAGCTCTGACCAAGACAAAGGCCTATGCCTTAGAGATGCAGCAGGATCAGTTTATCAAGTCTGACACAACAGCCAGGGTATGAACTCAGAGACATGCTGTGGGTTCATATGAAATGATAAAGTGTAGAGACTGAATGTTTTCTTCTACTTCAAGCTCATCTCCTCAGGATTATTCCTAGCAGGCCACCAAAAGAAATTCTTCCTTAAGTGTAAGTAGACAAACACTGGACCAGGTGCAAGTTTAATCATTCACTCATAATAACATTATCTTAGAAAAGGAAAATATTTTCTAGGGGAAGTCAGTATTATGTACCCATTTCACCTAATTAGTAGAATTACTTCCGTGACGTAGAAAGCTTGTCATCTTTCCCTCA